TATATATGCCTCTCTGCACGGAACACACTTGCTAGTTGCAGTGCAGGTTGGGGTGTGGGGGTGGGCTCTGGCGTGGGGGATGAGGGGTTTGGGGTGCAGGAGGGGGTTCTGGGCTAGGGTTTGGGATGGGGGGGTGTGGGGTCCCGGCAGTGCTTAGGCACATGGGCAGCCAGGGTGGCTCCACGTGCTGTCCTTGCACCTGCATGTGCCACCCCCGCAGCTCCCATTGGTCACAGTTCCCAGCCAATGGGAGCTGCAGAACCAGCACTTGGGTGGGGGCAGTGCACAGAGCCTTCCTGGCTGCCCATACACCTAGGGGCCACAAGGACCTGGTGGCCGCACGGAGTCAGTGCCGGCAGGGAGCCTGTCTTAGCCCTGGCCCTCCCACTGCGCTGCCGACCAGACTTTTAACGGCCCGGTTATCAGTGCTGACCGGCGCTGCTAGGTCCCTTTTTGATTGGGCGTTCCAGCCAAAAACTGGCCGCCTTGGCAACCCGGCTGAGCCCAAATGTCTACATTGCAATTTCATAGCCCTGGAGCTGAAGTCAGCTGATCCAGCCCAGAGGCAGGTGTTTTATTGCAGTGTAGAGACGCCCTCGGGCTTCACCAGGAGCTCTAATGAGCTGCAAATCAAAAAGGATTCTGCCAAAAACTGGAAACATGGATGCATTGCTAAGGCGAAGTACCAAAGAACCTGATTTCCTGCTTTCAGAGTGTTACTGGCCTAGTGGATAAAGACAGAAGCAGTAGATGTGATATCTTGATTTTAGTAAGACTTTTGACACAGCCCCCTGTGAGTTTTCTCACAGCAACTATGGAAAGGTAGGTGGGTGGGCAACTTTTAAGACCGTACTCCAAGAGTAGTTATCAAGGGCTCACTGTCAAGCTGGGGGTGGGTGGAGTTCAATGTTTTCATTAATGACTTGGCCTTGGGAAGTAATTGCCCTGCTATGCTCAGTGCTGGGGAGACTGGTCCAGTTCCAGGTGCTGCACTTTAGGAAAGATGTGGGTAAACTGGAGAGAGTCCAGAGGAGAGCAACAAAAATGATCCGCCCTTTAGAAAACTTGCCCTACGAAAACTAGGCAGGTTAAGTCTTGAAGGGGATTTGATTGCAGTCTTCAAATAGATGAAGGGCTGTTACAGTGGACAGTGATCAGTTCTCCATGTCCACTGAAGGTAGACTTAATCTGGGCTTAATCTGCAGCAAGGGAGACCTGGGACCTGCCCTATGCAAGTGCTTCACTCACTTTCCTCTTGTGGGAACAGAAGGTGGGGCTTCAGAGGCCAGAACTAGTACAACTGTGGGCATGGATTTCTGCGTGCAAGGTGCCACTTGTAGGGGTAGGGATTTCAGCCACTGGGTCTTCTGCCTAAGTCAAGCTTGGTTTCTCTTTTCCCTTTCCCATGAATTGATTGTCAGAAGTTTGGAATAAATTGACTGATCGATGGGGAAGGAAGGTGTGAGCAAGAGGGACAGACAGTTTGGATAGTTTGAAAGCTTTCTGGAAGGTCTAATTCACAGCAGCTCCTCCTCCTCTTCCCCACCCACCCACACCTGCTTCTGGTAAATAGTTCATGCTGCTGCTTCTGAAAAATGTTACCCCTTCCTCATCTCTCCTTGCCCCCAGCTGGCAGCCATGGTCTAAACTCTCCAGTGCTGTACTGTCCCTGGGGAAATGCCTGCTTGGCTCCTGGGTTAGCAGAAAGGATGTGCACAAAAGCGAGCTGTGTGAACTCGCATGAAAGGGGAGAGAAGCCATGCTAGGGCCTGTGGTGTTCACCCGTTTCTTGAAGGATGCTGAGGCAAGGGCAAGTAACTCACCATTGTGGGGGCGGGGTGGTGAGCACCACGCTCCCCCCAAGCTGTGGAGGAGAGGCCCCGAATAGTGAAGAGGGAAGGCGGTTGGACGGCGTATACACGCTGGAGTGGATTTCTGGCGCTGGACCAGCTTTGTTGTCTGTAATCACTAGTGCGTGGGAGGGGAACGAGGCCCCTCTAGGAATGTGACATTGTTGCACTTACAGGAGTCACCTGGAAGCCCAACGTGCACAGTCAGCGTCCGCACCAGAGCAGGAGCCGTCAATTGGCCGTAGTGCATGCTCCGAAAGGGCCCAGAGGGAGAGTCAAACAGGGGGGCTGGAACTAGGGGTGCTGGGGGTAAAGCAGCATCCCCTGGCTTGAAGTGGTTTCCATCATATGCAGGATTTATAGTTTGGGTCAATGGCTCTCAGCTCCCCGGCAAGGGGACCCGATGGGTGAGAGTAAAGGGGAACGGTGCGGGAGGGCTGGCTGTGGGGTGTGGTCCCAGCAGGGGCGCTATAGGGACCGGTGCGGGAGGGCTGGCTGTGGGGCGTGGTCCCAGCAGGGGGCGCTATAGGGACCGGTGCGGGAGGGCTGGCTGTGGGGCGTGGTCCCAGCAGGGGGCGCTATAGGGAAC